GGGGCGAACGCAACCAGCACAATCTATTTTTCATTTTCAGTGGAGTGTGTGGGCTAATAAATAAGTTTTACAAGATGGTTTGACCTTTTTCAAAACTCGTTATTAAAAGTAGCTGGAACTGCATTGCTAGAAAGAATGATCCATATTAAATGTACCAATTCTCAAGAACACTCATCCGTTAATTTACGAATTTTCTCTACCCAGAATCATTTAAATTTAGCATACTTTTCAATTTTAAGAACCTCATTTATGTAAAAATTAAATAAATTTAAGGAGCACCTGACAACATGCCCAAGATCGTTTTCATCGAGAAAAAGTGATTTATAAACTTGGCGTGTACTCAGAAACAAGTTTTCGAAAAGAAATTTAAAAGTTTAAAATTTAAGAACATATGTTTGCTACAACACATAACCAGCCGTCGAATAAGCGTTTGATTCATAGGTAATGAGTGCATAGGACACAACACATAGAAAAGTACAACAGGACGCAACACACGTGGAAAAGCGAGGATGATTCACTTTCTATGTGTTTGTTTACGTTCATCACCATGAACCACTTGGAGAAGCAAAAACAGAAAAATAACTTTCAAAGATACCCTGATTGTGTACTATAAGCGTTAAACAACGCTAATATTCATCTACAGTACGAGCCTAAAATAATTTACATGCTAGCAGATTTAAAATTATGATGACAAATTTTTAATGCTTCAAGTTTAGCAACTCTTTCTTCGCTTCTACAAACAATCGTTGATCGAGAAATGAATTCTGTATACACTAATTGTTTTCGCAAAGGCACTCTTAAAGAGGTTTCTCATCAAAAATTATGACCCGAGGTAACATGAGGATTAGAAAGCATGTTCACTTAAAACTCTGAATGATAGGGAAAAAGTGACTTCGTATGAAACAATAAAAGTACATCGCTTTTTCATATTTCTGAATAAACAGTTGTGAAATAAAAAATCCATAACTGTTTCTTCGGCAATACGACAGAACAGATATAACGGAGATCATACGATTTGTCCAGAGGGACGTTATTTCCAAATCTGCATGGTGTCACAGTCGTCTTAGAGGTCTGCTCCGACCGGCGGAGGTATCGAGTTCGATTCCTGCGGTGTGGCAAATTTGTCTTATTCACGAATTCCCTTGAGCATGGAATTCGCTAAATGTTGCTTTATATTAGGATTACTCAGTCGATATAGTGTCGCCTCACAAACGAGAAATCCTTAATTCAAGCGTCGGTCAGGGCCATTCGCCCTTCTTCTTTCCGAGGTGGATAAATCAGTACTATTCTGTGCGAAGGAAACAGATGACTACACGCTACGCTTGTCACATACCTGTAGACTCTGCCATTAAAAAATGGAGCTCTCTTAGCTGATGGCATAGAAACAGCAATCGGCATCGCTTGATCAACGCCGTGATAAAGGGCGCAAAAACGGCACAATCATGAACGTGAAGACCGATATTCCAACGGTATCAGCATTTTCCCTATCAAAGTTCGTACCTGTTTCGATTTAAATAACTGAGTTCCTTTGAAAGCCCCATGATCATTAAAGACACTTGGTTAGAAAGCGTAAAGGGCATAACGTTTTCAGAAAAAAAGGCACTGGCAAAATTCTACAAACGTATTCGACAGTAGCACTAAACCCAGCATTCACTTATTAAACTGTTAAGACAACAGTTTTCCCTTTGGCTGAAATGCAGGTTTTAATTAAAAATTGGATTAAGATTACAATAAATAAGTCAAGTGTCAGTCTGTGAGTTATTAGGAGAAGGACGCTACAACCACAAACCCGAATGAAAATATTTTCGACCTGCATCCTTTATGAACCCACAGCGAAAGCACGACTAATTTCTTCTTGGAAATTGAGCATAGTCGCTTTGTTTCAACTTGTAGGCTCATGTGGTCATTAATATGAACAATAGATAACATTCGTTATAAGGGTGTAGTGAAAGGTCGTTTGATCGTACATGTCAAAGAGGCTCATTCAGTTCTACGGTCGGCATAAATTTTTATTTACTGCATATTCCCTTAAGCGATGTACTCACTTCATTGTTTTGATACAAGCTGAGAAATGGGTAACAAGTTCTTGAGTTACGAACAACAGAAACACAACAGTGCAAACTGGTCACTACAGAATAAGCGAGAGGTAAGGTTATGCTCTTTGATGTGAACGTCCCTAAGAACTGCACTTCACCTCAACCCACCTGACTGTTGGTTTCCTTGTATGATAATCGACCGGAATAAATTTCAAAGAGCTTATAACGGCGCTACCTATTATGCTGCTATACAGCTGCAATGCCAATACCTGCTGGTAAATAAAATTGAAGAAATAAAGATATTCGTTCAATTTATTTTCTCAAATAACTGGCATGCACAACAGCTTTCAAATTTTTTCACAAAAAAAAACATTATTTTAGTGGCGCATGGTCCAGGACTGGTGTTCATCATGCCTTGTATTGACACGTATCGCAAGCTTGATCTGCGAGTGGTTTCATATGCGGTTCCTCCGCAGGAAATCCTATCGAAAGATTCAGTGACAGTATCGGTTGATGCAGTCGTATATTTCCGAACATCCGATCCAATAGCTGCCGTGAACAATGTCGACGATGCGATATACAGTACAAAACTACTTGCTCAGACTACTCTTCGCAACGCTTTGGGAATGAAAACATTGACCGAGATGCTGACCGAACGGGAGGCGATCGCGCAGCTAACCGAAACAATTTTGGATGAAGGTAAATAATGTTTAAGTGATTAGCCCTAAATTGCAACTTTCGCTTGTCAAGGTACCGAACATTGGGGCATTAAAGTGGAAAGGGTGGAGGTGAAAGACATTCGTCTACCGCAACAGTTGACGCGGGCAATGGCAGCCGAGGCGGAAGCAGCAAGGGAGGCGCGGGCGAAGGTAGTGGCCGCTGAGGGTGAAATGAAGGCCAGTCGTGCGCTCAAAGAGGCGGCAGATGTCCTGGCCGACTCGCCAGTGGCTATTCAACTTCGCCACTTGCAAACGTTGGGCAGCATCGCTGCCGAGCATAATTCGACCATCATTTTTCCGGTTCCCATAGATCTGTTGGGCAGCTTTACTCGCAAGGACAAGGACGTGAAAATGAAACATGATTACAGGGAACCAGTATGAATCTGGTTACGTTTTGTATAAAACTAGTACGAACCACGTCACGGACATGTACAGCTTGGTCTCACACAATTATTGTTGTGTTCACCCTGTGAAACACATCCACAGCAAATCACCTTTCTGTGAAATGTTGTCAAGGTTGAAATCTACATTGCGGTTCATTTCGTTACGGCAAAAAAAACTAACGCAATGCATATTTCCTCTATATGAAAAAGGTTTATGTGCTATATGGCAAAGTCACGCTATGTCTTGCTTACTTTATGTTCGAGTACCGTTGGACTTAGAGCTATGTCAGTCCAATAAAAACTTGTCTATCCCAAAACATTTTGTTTGCATGTCGCACAGATAATAAGTAAAGGGCACGTCCGATTTAGTCACATCTACGATGGTTGCATAAATCACCGTTACCTGACATGGCATTCCGTAAAATATTGTAGACTCAAATAAACCGTTTGAACTGTACACCATTAAGAACGCTCGAACATGCAATATACTTTGTTCCGTACATTACTTAGAAAAAATCGCAATGATAATCTATCATCCGTTAGGGACATCCAGCTGCCTGAAAAAAACGCACAGAACTGGATGACTGAGAGTCTCATTAACTTATTGAACGACACGCTCACAAAATTTTGACTCAGTAAGCAAGTTAACGGCAAGGTAGAAATTGAAACCCTCACCGCACGCGAATTTGGGGTCAGTGACACTTTAATGCAGCGTTAAAAGTAGAACACTAAAACGCGCTTCCATTTGTACGAAACAATCAGTTGACTGAATTTATTTTAATCGTAAAATTGCCAAAAGTTAACATTAAACACTGAAGCAGAAACTGAAAGCAATTAACCTACAATTTCATTTTTTATTACACCGTAAAAACACGTCATTAAACGTAATGGTACCAGTAAAAAACAAAAAAAATTGTTAATGCAAAAAGATGTTTATCGCTTTTTCTAGCTGTTGCAGCTTATCGAAGAAGTAAACAATGAAAATATTTTATTCTGTTATAATTATAGAACACTCCGTAAAATGACATAAATGCTTATTGAATAGAAAGATATCGTGAAACCAATTCTTTGGTGCAATTGATATTCACAGTGGGACTGAATGATTAATGAATTTGCTATCGTATGTAATCTATCGTCAGTTGCTATTTTCGTAAACTGGTTTGAATGGAATGTCTTTCTACATCACGCTGAATTCGACTAAGTATGTCCCATTAGAGATATTTTTCTATTGAAGATTTAGAAATTTAAGTTACTCTCTGTCGTCAGTTCCTTTCTTCAGGTTCTGGCGCATTCATTTAATCAAGTATTTACGAAGAGCCTTGGATAATTCTAGATCTTTTTGTAACTGCTTGATTTAGGTAATAAATATAACGACATGATGAATAGAAAACGAATACGAGGTATATGGCCAACCACGATGCAAGGTGAGTCGCCAAATTCACGTACATTCACTCAGAAGTCGGTGTCCGGATTAATCACAAGAAGTCAGCGTTCTTTCAAGGTTGGTCCCGCCAAGAGCGTGTGCTGTCTTTTCTCCTGTTTATCATTTATATGGACTGAATCCGCAGACGCAGCCTAGGATAAACTCAGAACACCTTCTGAAGTTACAGCTATTTATATAACGAAGAAATATATAACTCTGCTAAACAAAGCTTTTGTATCGCACGGCTGGAGGCCGCTTGCAACGTTAGAATAGAAATGTCAAGATTTCTGAGCCAACTCATGGTCTGCATTTTCATAGGATTAGCTGTTAAACGAATGATGTGTCGTTCTAAACAACCAAGCGCCTGATATCGGTTTGCAAAAAGTTTTAAACCAATCTAACAAAATCTAGAACGATTTTGAAGTAGTTAGTCCTGGGAACCGTACGACTTATTTTGCAAAGATCGCGAAAAATCTAGGAAATTCTAGATCCTCACAGCTGTCACCGTGCTTTGAATATTCATTCACAAGATATACACGCAACCGCCAAAATATATTTTCTTCACGTTTCAAGCAACTTATGCAAAATGATGCTTAAACTAAGAGACATACATCAGACGTCCAAAGAGTAATTAACAGCTGAGCAGAAATACAATACAGTAAAGGAAGTGCTGAGGATGCAGTGAGTGTCGAATGTATACGAATTCAATGAATCGCTTCATTAAACAGTACTTCTGCCAAACATTTTTACATATCTTCTAATAAGCCAGCCTCTGCGTTCCCAAAACTTTTCGCCATAATAAGCGTACCATCTAAAATCAATATCAGACGAATGCACCATTAAACATGTCAACTAAACACTGAAAAAAATTGAAGCTCTAAGCCACTAGAAAGCCTACAACTGACCAATCAGTCTTAACTTGGAGCCGAAGAGGGCAGTAGTAAGAGCTGCAATTTTACCTAACTGCTAGATAGGTCAAGAACAATGGAATAACTTCATAAAGTTGGATAACCTAATTATCTAAAATTATGTTTATTTTTAAACAAAACTGTGAATTAAAACAGATACAACACTCTCTTTCGATACCGGATTGAAGAGGGGCAATGGCACCTTCCCTTGTTTCTAGTCGCCTATGGGACCATTTATGCAGGCTACAGCTCCATGGTATTTGAGCACCTGTAATGCATGGGTCTAGAACAACAGCATCACTAAGCAGGACCGAACAAAGGCCCATTCGGACACCTGTAGATATGCCACGATCCAGTACTTGGCAAGTTCTCAACCGGGTCAAGAACAGCCTATCCAAAGCCTAAACTTTTGAACTCTCGAGAAAAGCAACTCGCCGTGCTCTGTGAGTAAGGGGAGTAAAACAGAGGCAGGTCACGGAATTCAGGTACGTTAAGGTATTTATGAGCGACGGCGATCAGGGCGAAGAAAAACACTAAATAGTTAAAGAAAGCAACAATGCGGGAGACACACCGGTCTATGGTAATGAAGAAGCAGCTGAGTAGTAGCACGAAGCCACAGACCTTCAAACTGCGTGCATTATCTGCAGTTACGAATATTAGTTACTGATCGAATGAGCATGATACAAGATACAAACGGCAGAAATAAAATTCTAACCAGATGCAACGATGCTTGACAAGGTTCAGAGCACGAGATTCCTAGATGCTCTCGCCGCGCATTACAAAACGAGATATCATAAGTGATAGGTTGAACATGTAATCAGAATAAAGAAGAGAGACTAGCAAGGCGGCGGATTCTCTTTGCAGAGTAACATGGAAGGCAGTCCAAAGGCAAAACGTGGGCAAGATGGCTCGACCATATGCAACGCCTGATAAGGCCGTGCTCTGAAATCAAGCTGAACCAATTGGAGGAGAGCAGGGATTACAGGAAATGCGAATAGAGGCTGCTGTCCAGACAATCGGCAAGGATTAACGGACTTTGAAAATGAACAAATAATCAAAAAAAATTAAATTCAACAACTGTTGAAACTTTTCACAGGCTTCGAGAAGCAGTGCAGGAATAAACTTTATTAAACTGTAGTGCATCATTTTTATAGAAACAAATAAATTAATAAAAGAAAAGAATACTTACATTCCAAACAAACTACCACCAAGATGTGCTGCATGATCGAAAAGCCGCCACCTGAAGAGCAAGCCACAAAAATCTAACGCCAGCATTCCAACCACAGCCTGGAAAATGAATAATGGGCTACATCACATATGCTTAACGGGCATACCTTCGAGACAGAAAATGTGAAAAATGGAAAAAACACCAACGCTAACTGAGCGTCTGGAATTCGACAACACGTATACATCAATGCTGCCAGTATGGCACCAGACTAAATAATAAAAATAAAATACAAACTTAATGAATAGTACTTTCGCCCTACTGCGCCGATCGAATAAACGGGACTATGCAATATGCCTTTGTAAGCAAGGCCAGCAAGAGAAGCAACGACGCCTAAACAGGATATCAGAAAAGAGCTCAAATGCAGTTACAAAACAAAACAGTAAACCCGCTGTCAAATAAAATCCGGTAAATTGCTCCAATCCCATGAAGTTCTGCACGACAGCTGGGCCAAAAGTCCAGAGGACATACATGTTGATTGTCAGATGCAATACATTAAGGTGTGAGAACGTCGAAAGGATC